TCACTTGATGAATCAAATTTTTCATTTGCACTCTTTTTCGAGGGGGGTGCTCGGGTAAGCGCCCACCCCTAAAAAATCTGATTTTCTGAGTTGAGGCCCCTGGGCGGTAACGCGGTCGAGTACGGTAATAGGAGTATATACAAGAATTGCAAAGATGGTTTTCACAATTTCATGTCCATCTGTAAAACCACGCCACTCGTTCTTCACCTGAATCACCCAACAAATGAGTTATTGATATTCAAAATTCAGACAATACAGGCAGCACATGTAGAAGGGCATTTATAATCAGGACACTTCACATCTTAAACAAATTTGTATATGCCCATGCAACTAAAATAAATTATAATTTCATTCAAAACTGAAAATGTAGGGCAAGAGTTCCCATCCCTAACCCGAACACTCACTCCCAGTTACCCAATTAATTTGTATATGCCCCTTCTAGATAACTATAGATGTCCTTAGGAGGGGCATGTACAATTACCCCCCATCCCTAACCCGAACACTCACTCCCAGTTACCCAATTAATTTGTATATGCCCCTTCTAGATAACTATAGATGTCCTTAGGAGGGGCATGTACAATTAAATGGGGAGTGCTGGAGGGTAAGGGTAAGGTTAGGATTAGGGGTACAAAAGGAACTCTTTCTAAATGTAGTACTTACAACTTTCTCTCTACTCCGTAGGACTCCCATTTTTCCAAATCTGACATGGAAAGGGGAACATAAGTAGGATCCATCTTCTTGTTCAACCACAACAACATCTATTGCACCGGTCAAAGTAGCAGCATTAATCTCTTTGTAAAAGTCTTTAAAATTGGATAGAAATCTACCAAAGTAATTCATGCTGTTTGCATTGCACCAACCTGCAAAAATAGAAAATAATTAAATGATCTGTTTTAGTACACTGCTTGTTATAGAGATATTTAACAATGACGTACAGTAAACACAACTTCAATTTCACAAGACAAAGTGTTGTCAACAACAAATTTTGCAGTAGTGAAATTCACTAAGGTTCATTCGACAACAATTTTGATTAAACTAAAGTAATTTGAACAAATTGTGAACATTTCTGGTGGCGAAAGTTAACGTTTACATACATTGAAAACACTCAGCAATCAAACATTTAACAGCTCTCAAACATGTTGTACAAATGCAGTACTATCAATATATTTGCTACGTTTACACAACAACATTCTATCAAAGACGAACTACTACTCCTTCCACCGATTACAGGAGACACTCAATTTACAGTACTACCGGTAAGTATGAAAATAACATGGCTGAAAACTATTTTTGTGTTGTGCTTGTGTAGTTGTTTGTTTACATGGCATGATGCATGTCAGGGCGACAGAGAATATACTTTCCTTGAATATATGCTCAAAGAAAACGAGCAAGGACACAGCGAATGATTATTGCCCAACGTCACTGTCAGCAGCTCTTATTTTTACAATCATGGGTGCTGCCATTAGTACATCTACATTTGTTGACACAGTGTGGCAACATATGCGTAGTTGTCGGGCCCTGTTTGTTGGGCCTGATGCATTTACACAGTCAGAGCCATGTCAGGGCCCAATCCTATCAGAGCTCAACACCAAGAGTTTATTGGAGCCAAACTATACACAGCCATTATTGCTGGTTCAAACAATAGGGGCTCTGATAAAATGTGTCAACACAGCAAATGTAATGAGATCATTTTGTGAAAACAATAGAATGATCCAGAAAATAATAAATGCAATTTTTGGTTTACAAGCACTTCTGTGTATTTTGGAAGATACATTATTGAACTGGCACAGAATTATTTAATAAA